TATCCATTATATTTAAAAATCGATATGGAAAATCTTGAATATCTTTTGACTGACGAGTTGTGTATCACCAAATATAGATTTTTGATACATGACTTCGAAATTAATTATTATATTTTCATGACAACACTAAATCAATTTTTTTCGGCTTCTTAGCCATTTCGTCCAAAATTTTATCCGATATTTCGGTAATAACTTATTAAGATCAATCTGTATTTTATTGAGACGATAATTTTGACAAACAATTCAATAAATAAAATAAAATCAGAATTAATTACATATCTCTTTCATTCTGTTTTAGAGGTATCTGGGTCTTTATTCTTTTAGAGCCAGAAAAATAAATAGTGATTTTTGAGACGCTTTTTTGAAATATTTAAATGCATTATAACTACACTTGCTAAATATGTTATAAAAAATTAACTTAAAAAAAAACTAACGATTTTAAGGCATCAGGTTTTCGTGGAACTGTAAATATAAAATTGTGACTGATATGAGTAATGCCAGAATGACCGGGAAAACTCAAATATCACAACGCATAACTGGCATGTTGCGTAAACAGCCCAAAACGGACAGATACAGCTGTCAGCAGGCTGAAGTAGTAACGTCGTCAATAGTTGCACGAGTTTCAATTTCTAATCTAGGCCGTCGATGGACGACGATAAGACATAATCATATAATAATGTAGATGAAATTAAATATTTACAAAAGAATAACTTTGTGCGAGTGTGTGATTGTGCACTAATTACTATATATTAAGTTAAAAAAAATCACAAAAAAGATATCCTAGGTTGAATATGGAGGGCGCAGCCACTGTAATAGATAATTTAATGAGTACCTATAAGCAACGATAAACCATTACTTACGAAAAAACAATTATGAGCGGAGTTCAGTTGATAATGATGTTTTGTCAACAATACATGTAATTTTATGGTAAAATAATTAAATAAGCTTTATATATTTTTTTAATGTTGTACCGATTTTCTCATGTTTCATCATGGTTTTTCACATTTGCCGGGAAAACTTTTAAAAAAAACCGAAAAATGATCTCTCTAAAATACCTCTCTAGTGAAATTTCCTCTTAGAAATATTGCTATCATTATAAGTTGAAGACAAATTGCTGGTAGAAAAATTGTGCACAGGAAAAAAAATCGTAATATTTTAGTAACATATTTCGTACATATTCACGTTTTTTTTCGGTTTTTTAAATTTGATGAGAAAATTGAAAAATGACCTCTCTAAAGTTCCTTTCTAATGAAATTTTCTTTTAGAAACATTGTTATTATTATAAGTTGGGACAAATTTGCTGGTAGAATAGTTTAAGGTTATGTTGAAACCAGATATCAGACCTAAGGTACTCCGTCGGTATTTTCAATTTTCAAACAAAATTAATTGATTTATAGTTTAGAATTTTAATATTAATTCGATGTTGATAATCTGAACTTATATCAGAGAACTGTTCTGTTATGCTGTATTTTATTACTTGCAATGAATAATGTATTACTAGTTGAGTTCTCTACAGAGTTTTTAGTTCAAAAAATACATATCAACATTATATTTGTTTATTTATTATGAACTAAACGGGATAGCCCAATTATAATATTAAATAAGGAACATAAAAATGGTGTATATATAATGGTTGTTGTGGAGGTACAATATTAAGCGATTAAATTACTAAGATATAAATTAAAAGAAGTAACAGAATTATAAATACAAATATCAATATTAAAATTATTTGCATGTTACATAGATCTAATTTAAGGGGAGTTCTTGCCATATAAATTACGCTACAATGATACATATAAAGTATGTCTCAAGAAGTCTTACAAGACTTAGAAGACTTATAAGTCTCAAGAAGCGATTTTGAATTGCTTCAAGAGAATGAATTGGACCAAATGTTTGAGACCAAATTATTGAACTATAATCAAAAATTGATATAATAAAGGCGCAGGAAAAAGATTTTCAAAATTATTACAGCTTCGCATTATAAAGTCTAGTATTGGAGACGTTTTATTTTGAATATGGAAATAATTTGAATGTTGAATTAACATTGAATGTTAGAGAAGAGTTAATACACCCAAATCTTTCACGATATTAACTCATTTTAATTCAATAACATTTAAAAAGTATTTATTTGAAAGTGACTCACATTTTCTAGTGAAAGTAATTATTTTAAATTTTGAAACGTTCAGGTACAAATTGTTTCAGTATGAAAATCATCAGATCCAAAAAAATCAGTATGTTTGAATTGATATCATTAATATCATTGGAATTTATTGAATATTTAATACTTGTATAATAAACGGTGAAGGTTACACAATCACCAGTTCCATCACAAATATTTCTTAAATAGTGTTGCCACCTTAATATGGCACATATTATTTCAAAATATTAATTACGCGCGTTGCTCACATAGAGGCGCCCACGTAGCTACCCTGGCGAAGTGGGAGTCGTCGGTGTGAGAGACCGCGGAAGGTTTAATATACATCACTAATTGAATTACTTCTCTGGGTTCGCCTAGCAGAATTAGACATTTTTACTCACTCACTCCAACTATATATTTTTTCCAAACCTACACAGTAGTTGCAGATACCAAAGGCGGGCTGCTGTATTTGGTTCTCTCTTTCCTATATACCTAGTAATTGTGCTTGTTGTCACTATTGTTTTACCATAGATTGTGTTTATGTCTGAAAAAAAATATATATAATATTCCGGTTCATAGATGGCTATACTACATTTTGTTAATCGGTTGTGAATGTAAAACGGATGTGGTCGTAATACCGACGTCTAACTCATTCACCTCCGTGAGACGGTTGTCTAAATGCTTAGAAAGGACGGTGGAGAAAATACAATTCTCGCTACACTAGCATTGTCTATAAACCTAATTGCCAGGTATATTGAGTATCTAACGAGGTGTATACATTGCAACGATTCATCAATACCCATACCCTTTATATCTTGTTCCTAATATTTTGAGCAACGAACTTCTTGCTGACATCAAACAGAAAATATAAGGTACATGTTAACCTTACATATTTAGTAGAATACTAATAAGAGTAAAATAGGCAGAAGAGAAATATAACTTCTTTCAAAAGGCAATAGCCCTCGTCAGTAAAATATATAATAAGTACGTGTTTTTATCGACATAATATAGGTATTTGTACATATAATACTATACAGTCCGAATGACCGCGCGCGCACACACATAGAACCATTTACACAAATACTATGCCAATTTTGTTAACATATTACGCTGCGAGTCTATTCAAGGTCTTATTCGACCGATTGCGCATTAAGGCAACACTGCCATCAATTATCCTATCGATAGATCACATCATGTGTTCATGTCATACGTCATACATACAAATATGAATATACCTAAACCCATCAATCACGTATAACCTCTTACCCATCCATACTCTACTCCCTCCATTCCTTCACTCCCTTTTCTCCCTTCCATCTTCCCCTTTTTTCTCGTAAATTGGAAAATTGGTTATAATTATGTGAAGTGAGCGACTGTTTATATATTTTATGAGCCATTTTTTTATCAAAAAATAATTTCTTTAGTGAACAGCTGAACCAGTGAAGATGTTTTGAAACATATAAAGTTTTAACCGAGCAGTAGGTATTAATTATTTTAAAATAATAAAATATCTTCATAAAATACGTTCGTTGAATCATTAATTTACAATAATTACATTAATATCCAACATGATAAACATTAGATAAAACATGATCAATCAACGATTCGAAGCGATTATATGTTAAATTAAATTGCATTAAATTTAGATAAGACAAATGAACTAACACATTAGATTCAAAAGAACCGGTACGAGCACCCGCAGGGACAATTGAACCATTAACAGATTGCCAATTATAATAACTAAAAATTAAAAATTTTGAACGACAATTATTATTTAACAAAACATCAATAGTATTAAAGTATATATCATAAACATTAATATCAGAAGCAGGGGGAATATAAACAGCACCTAAAGAAGAAGATGTATCACTAATTTGTATAAATAACTGTTCAACTGAGTTATCATAGTTTGGAAAACTATGGCATGAAACTGATGGCTTTTAACTGCAACCAGTACCTCTTGAAATAATATCACGAGTACTGCAACGATTACATCGAAAATTAGTTAATAGGGGACAAAATCCAAGTTCCACGTCGATAACATTGTTAGATAACCAAGTTTCTGTAAGTATAATATCATAATTACAGAGAGAGACATTATGAGTAAATACATCCAATTTAATATTAATACCCCGAATATTTTGAGAGTAGATGGAAAGTTTACTAACTATTATTGGGCTCGTTGACCGTTTTTTGAAATGGTTGGACAGTCATTAACAAACTAATACTTGGATCGGTTTCTCCAGGTTTTTATCTTTCGACTTAATAGACTCACGACATTAATTAATTGACGATATGATTTTATTTCGCGAGTTTTTTAATTCATTAATCATCTCAATACGCTTGCTAAATTTATCATCCTTAGAAGTAGACGGTGGAGTAAAGACAACAACGTTGTAAGTTAGTTGGTAGTTTAAATTAGGTCTGTCAAAAACGATAAGACAGTATGAAAAAAAATCGTACAACCTACCAATACCACGGACTGCAGAAGACTGATATAAGGTATTTAATTTGTTCACCTTTTAACTAATATGACTATCAAGATTTAATTAATCTCTAATAGTTTGTGTTAGGTATGCATCGTTAATTTAAATTTACCTCTCAGGAGTCGCATTGATAATTTAAATTCCTTTTGATTGAAAATGTGTGATTTAATTACTTTTGTCATTTATTTCAAGAAAAAATGTTAGTTAATTTTTTTTGGACTACTAAATCTATAATACATTTTGTAATATAGGTAATTATGTAATTTTATTAGTATACTCGGTAGGTATTACAAAATTATTACAAACGGTATCTCAATTTACACGTTTTTATTAAGTAAATTTTTATAAATTGTTTGTAATTTCATTATTACTGATTCGGTTTATTATAGTATATGGTAATATAATTCAATATTTATTTGTTTTTAGTATATTTCAAATAACAATAAAATCATAGCTATCTACCCGTATTATAATATTAATTTAGTATAATATATTAAATTAATGTCATAATATTTCATATTATATTTATACATGTATAATTTTTAAACGTGTATTATAGCTACTATTGTATAAAATGAAATATAATAATATAATAACAATATGAATATTCCTATCTTATGTAACAGAATATGGGCAGTGTAGCGCATTGTGAATAGGCATGTTATGAACAAACCAACAAAATCACTATACCATACATTTTTAAATCAGGTATAATATTAATATTGTATACATTGAATTTATGAATGTTAAATTAGAATATTACACTTGTAGTATGCATTGTTAGGAGGACATTATATCCGCATGATGTACTGCTGCGTCTAACGAGCAATATTGAGTAAAATCACCTATCATAAAATAAAAAGACGACAATATTCTGGATATCAAGGCAGGACGTTTCTTTTTTTAAATTCATTTTTCGAAATTTCACAGTTGTTTAGAAATCATGAATTAGGCTTTATTTCTTAACGATGTATTAAACGTTGTATTCAGAATAATAGTTATAACAATAAGAAAAACGCATTATCTTGCCCTCTGGATTATTGTCATCTTTTAATTTTATTATGGATGATTTTACTTTAAAAGCAAAATTAAACAAGTTCTTTGTAGTCTGTGTATGTTATATTTTGCTATATTGCTCGTTGTTATTAATTGGACGGAGATAGCACATGTGGGTATGACGCCCTTTTAAATGCATTAAATCATCTAGATTTTATCTAAACTATTTAGCCTCACTTGTACAGTAATACTCTAATACCTATACAAGTAATATCATTGTTACAACTACTAACAATAATATTGTATGTTAACTACGTCCAAGGCTGGGCAAGTTAAGTCAAAATCCAATTCAATTTTTTATATAATATTGTTATTGTTGGCAGTGAACATTTTTAAACCTAAAGTTTGGATTTTTTTTGGATATAATAATGACCAATGTTAGATTAATTGAGTTTATTTTGGGAATATCAAATTATCCTTAGGTATTTTAAATATGGATGACGTAACTACATAATACACATTGCTGGCTAAATGTATTGTCTATATGGTTAACCTATTCAAATATTATATAGATTGTGTAATTAATCTGTTAAAATTAAAAGGAACGAAAATAAATTAATGTAAAAAAAAAAAAAATAATAATAATAAATAAGTTATGTTATTAAAACATTGAAGGATTAATGTCAAAAATTTAAATTAACTTAGTTTTTTTAAAAACATTTTTTTTCCTTGGTAGTGCCCAGTCTTGATTAGTTTTTAATGTTTCATAAGTAGTTATTGACTAATTCAAACTAAATTAGTTTTTAGATATGTTAAACAATAATATAGGTAATGATAATTCAAGTAATTCAATGATACAATTGTTTCTTTTTTCAATAATATATAATTAATAATATATAAATTCAATAATTAATAATATTAAACATTTAATAATATAATATATAAGCGGTTACAACAATGATCTACGTATAATAATATTAATATTATCTACTTTTTATATACTATTTTATAATAACATAATAGTCCTAGATAACTATTGTAATAATATTTTGGTAATTTAAAATTTCAAACCGACTAAATCAAATTAATTTAGTGGTAACTTTAATAACAATGAATTAATGATAAACAATTTAAAACATAATTATATAATATTCTTATTAATTCAAAACATGTTATTAGTATTTTATATATTTTGTTCAGATTCACAGGGCACATAATATTGCAGTTACTTAATCAAACCATTTCTCAACATTCCCATTTCTCAAACCAAGTAATATATTCACTACAATATTAATAATAATTAATTTGACATAATTTATAGGCATTTTTTAAAATTTCGAATCTTTATGTGGTTCTAAATTTATTTTTTATTATAATATAATGTTCATTTCTCTATCATCTCCATAATATATTCACATTATCTTAGCTTACGTTTTCATTTCTTTTATACTATTTGTTCATGTTTTTATAATAATACACATATTTTTGTTTTGTATGAGTTAGCAGTTGGCATTCAATGTAACTTCTGGTTGTCGTGCTGATGTTGTATACAACACGACATTCAATTACTTGCATATCAAATTTCTGTGACTGAAGCTTTGATCTAATACATTAACCATATTATATTATTATAATATACGAAACTCAAGTTAAAAAAGAATCCCGTTAATTTAAATCACACGTATAATAATTATAATAAAAGACTCCAATAAGAATGTATTAATTTTTTTTTTTGGAAAACATTGCTGAAAGAAATAAGTATACTATAGAAGTAACTATTGAAATTAAAATTTATATCACGACAGGTCGATAATAGTGTGCAGATAATATATTTACGGATAAGTTGTCGAGTAGAAATATTCGTGATGAACTGTGTCGTTCAAGGATAAAGTAATTGTTTAATATTAATAAAAAATACCCGGGTACACAATTTTAAACATTAAAACAAAATGGTAAAAAGTCTAAAATTAAAAAAAAAAAAAAACATTAAATATTATGCATTAAATGCATACATTTATAGTAACTTATTTAATTGTTAAAAACATTATATAGAAGGGGAAATTTCATTTTTTTTCTGTTAGTGCACCTACTCGTGTTATACATCAAGTAAAACGTCTAGTTAAAATATAGGTATCTAATCATAAATAAGGAAACTTCGATAATTAGAAGTGAGAAACTATTACGATATTTCTATTTGTACTCATATATTGTACTTAAATACCCACAATCGAATGTAATAAATAAAAAAAAAATAAACAGCATCGGACACAAATATCTAGTTTATTAATACATAAATGAGACATTCTGCCGGATACATATGTACTTGTAAGCATATATAAGCTCCTCGAGAATGCATGGCCTATAGGTACCTATATATTTAACCATCATTTATTTAGCTAGAAAAGTTAATGAATAAGATCAATTCAATTAATTATAAGTTGGTTGAATAAAGTTAAAGAGTTAACACATTAAAGCTAAATTTGTTTTATTCATGAACTAAGTTTAGTTAAAAATTAATTTGAAAATGTAATTATGTTATTTATAATATTTATATATTTATAATATTTATTATATTTAAAATATATACTTTTTGTTTTGTTAATATTATTATTTTTTAAATAATGTTGATTAATGTTATACACAGGAAATTCAAGAATATCAAATTATATTCGTTTTAAACCCATGATTTCATTCACATTATTGGGTAAACGGCAATTATTATTTATTTTATGGTAGGTACCTAATTGAATTGTATAATTAGGGTTCTTGTTATTTAAGTTAATTAAAATATATTAGTACAATTAGTTGGGATGAACTATGAAATAAAAAACAATTTGAGTGCGAGAGAGTTATGCAGTCAGTTATGGTTACGCATATTTACTGCGATAAAAGTAATTTTCTGAGTTTGGGCTTCAACAATGGTGAATACAAACATATTTAGATACGAACCCGTATTTTGTAATCGACCCATCAAAAAGCGAGTATCCCAAACAAATGGTGTGGGTTTTGTTAATGCGATATTATTTTATTAATAATTACTAAATTGTATAGGTACGCACGATTAGTGTAACGTCATATTATCTGATCAAAATCCTTATCAAGTACGATTAGATCCAAACAAATAATAATGTACACACAAATGCGATGCAAAGTAACTTTAAACTTGTTATATTCTACATTTTAAGTACTTTTATATTTATTTTATTCTATAAAATCTCAATTGAATATGAAGGGCAAAATATTGTTCGGCAATAAAAAACTTTTTAAATAAATTTTTGATAAAAAAAAATATTATTATACTATATTAATATTCAATGATTTATGTAAATGAGTTGACAAACAAAATCTAGCAACCTATTCCTGAGAAAGGTAACCGTGTAATATGTTTGGGATTTATTTTAAACGAATTGATAAATATTATACTTGAGAATTTAAAAATTCGCTAGATTTTCAGTTTTAAATAATTTATTACAGTTTGGAAATGAAAAACTTCTAGCTACGCATCAGCATAGTATGCAATTGCACCATGAGAGAATATGATCGGTATAAATATACGTATATATATATATATAATATATATATATACATAATTTGGAGCAACCGAAGGTTTCTTTGTAGTTCTGTTGTCTTAAATATTAACCTCTTCCTCGGCGCGACGTCGATGGCGGTCGTCTCTAATCGCCGCTGCTGCACCGCGTGCTTCTTCGCCGACAACGCCGCCACTGATATCATCGTGTTCCAACACTTCTTCATCGTATTCGTTGATCAACTCGCCGTTCTGATTGTAGCCCGGGTGCTCGGATATGCCGTAATAGTTGCCGTTGTAAATGATGCCCACCTCTTGGAGCACGTTTCCCTTGATGGTCGCCTTAATGGTCCAGTTGTAGCAGTCAGTGGCCTCGTAGTCGCGGTCCAAACGCTCGACGTCCACGATTTTCGAATTTAGCCGTTCCAGTATGATGCCGATGTCCTTGACTGAAAGATGTTTGTTCTGTGCGGTAGTCAACTGATCGATAAGCAGCAGAAACTTCTCGCTGGTCATCGATTCCTCTTCGATAACCGTGGTTTCGGTCTCCGTGTCGGAACTCTCGTCAGAACGTGATTGTTGCTGTTGTTGTTGTGATGACGACTGTTTTCGGGAGCTGCTCGCACCAGAAGTCGTCGGTTGCTGTAGGTTATCAGGTTGCGGTTGACGGATTACCGGTGAATTGGGCGGTGACGGCAGCAGCAGCGGTGGCGGTGGAATGGGCGGTGACATATTGGCGTCTAGGAACCGAACGTGACCTTTGGGAGATCCACGACGCGTGCCATCGGAAAGCGACGAAGACACGGGCTGGATGACGGTGAGCGGCGGCGGCGGCGGCGAGTGCCGGCACTCTTGTATGGGTGACGTGGCCACCGATTTATGCACGGCGATACGGCGTCCCTCTTCGTGGAGCGTGCAACAGTGAAAATCGCATTCGAACCCGTTGTCGGATACTGGTGGCGGCGTGGGCCCGTATCCGGAGGCGGCAGTAGCTGCGGCCAACAGTGAATCGCGTGCCGGACTACTAGCCCTCGAACTACTTCCACCACCGGCCGAGGACGTTCCGCCGGTGGATCCGGAATGGTGCAGCGGCGGCGGTGGCGTCAATATACCGTGATGCGAGCACTCGGACGTGTGTACATGGATAGCAGCTGTGTCCATGGAACTGTTTCCCTGTTTCGACATACGGCTGACATGCTGTTGCTGTGCCTGGTTATTTTGACCTGCCGAGAAAAAGTTAAAATTAAAATACACGGACATACTGTTGTGGGTGAGAAGTGGGGAAGGTAGCAGAAGGGAAATTGAATGTACATCTGAACACAACGATTAACCATTATTAACGAAAAATCGATTCTGAGCAGAATTCGGTTAATATTGTTGTTATTGTTGCTTTTTCAATAATAGATATTATGTGATATTATGATAAAATTATTACATTTTATTATGCATTATATATTTTCTTTAATCTTTGATTCTTTAATATTTGTTTAATATTGTACTTGTTTTCCCGTTTTCCCTACGTTTTTTTCCCATTAATTGGGGAAATAAAAAATTACTTTCTTAAAGTACCACCCCGGTCAGATTTTCTTTCAAAAAAACTGTTACGCTTGAAAACTGAAGCAAAATTGCTGGCAGAAAAGTTGTCCATAGGAAAAAAAAAGGTCATCATATTATTTTATAATACCTTCGTTTCGTACATTTTCCCGGTTTTTCTAATAAATGGGGAAACTACTGAGAAATTAAAAAAATGACGTCCCTTAAGTACCTCCCCAGAAGGGTTTCCTTTTAGAAAAAGCACTATCATTATAAATCGAAAGAAAATTGCTAGTAGAAAAGATGTCCACGGAAAAAAAAACATCATTGTAAAACCAATACATTCTTCGCTATCCTCAGAGTCTAAAAATATATAACTAAATCCTTAACTATATATAACAAGACAATTAAATACAAATTGCTAAGAACACGTAAAACCGCTCAAATATAAAGGGTTGCGAATAGGCAATTTTACGATATTTTTGAAAACATGAAATTTATCATCTACAATTTTCAAATAAAATAAAAATGTAAAAGTAAATATACAAGTATATAGTCCCGTGTTATTATCTAAACGCAAGTATTTTTTATTTTAATCATGGTGGTTTATAGCTGCGTATATAAATTTACCTAAAGTCAACTAGGCAAACTATATTAACTAAAACATGATAACTACGTGAGTCGTTAATAGAATATTTTACCGAATATCCATTCTAAATGCGTTTGTTAAGAATTAGATTTAATATTAAACATTTTCTCGTTAAGAAGTCCGGTGTCAGTTTTTGAAATTTTCTCTAATTTTCTCTAATTTAAAAATTATTTTGAACATTCCATTTACCACTTTGAAGATAGCTGAACTACTACCCTATATTCATTTAAGGGGAAAGGATGGGGCCGTTTTTACTAACGAAAATGATTTCACGGAAATAGTGATAATTCATTGTCAATTTTATATTTTAATAAAGGTTTTTTTTTTTTTAATGATAAGAAACAACATTCTACAAGCAGTATTCAATTCAAATTTTTTAGTTTTTAAAAAAAATAATGGAAAAAAGCTTAGTATTTACTTTTTTTTAAAAGTTGAGAATAAAATATTGAAAAATGGAATTCAAAGTGGTCTGTCGAATATTTCCCACTATTAATTGAAAAATATATAATATATTGAACTTGGTTCATTCTACTGAACAGTATCATTATTTCCGTAGAGTGTATTTTCGTGTGCAAAACGACCGTGACACCGGACTCTTTAACAGATTCAGTATCGTTATTGACCAATAAAATCATTTTTAGATAATATGAAATAGATTAATTAGTTGCTTTACAGATGTGAAATTCAAGTTATTTATTATATTATTATCATTATTCTTGTATTTTTTTGTTTATAGAAATAAATATTTTATACATGTATGTATATATATATATATTGTTGTTTTATAATATAATTTGTTTATATATTTGTCCTTAACTTATCCTAATCCTACATCATGGTGTTAGGGCCGAGTTTCGCTATCACGTAAAAATAGTAAAATCTGACCCACATGAAAAGTATTTGATTACAGATAAAAGATACGTACAAGGTACAATATCCTAGTTAAATATAGTAAATAAATATATAAATAAAATATTTACATATAGACACAAAAAATAAATAAATGAATGAATGCGTCGCCTGGAGTATTATGATAAGTGTATTATACGACCGGTTTCGAATTAAAAATTAATTTACAATATAATTTACTATACAATAGTTAATAACATTATTTGGCGATTTGTGTATTTTTTTTCTTTAATACGTTTATGAATTGTTTTAATAATATTTAAATTGAAATTATAACTATAACTTTCCGAAAAAAGATAGTTCCATATAAAAACACGCCATTTTTTTTTCTTGCCATAAGCAACAGACTGTTTTTTTCAATAGGTACATAATCCACCAGATTTGACGGCGTATCAAATACAAACCACTAGGTCGCGACACGAATACACGAACGGTACCGGATTCCACCATTAAGTCACAGCATTCCCGCCAGCCGACCATCACTACCTGACGACACGTTATTAGCGCTGCCCAACAAATTACGTCGTCGCCGTCACCGCCGGACGGATTGCATAAATACCGACCGTCCAGACGGCAATAACTCACTTGCTCGCGGTCCGCCGATCCTACCGTTCACTATTCGCAGCACAAGTTTAGTGTGAATTATAGCTTCCCACATTTTAGCTTTCCCATTATATTTCCCTAATGACTAATAATTCACATAATGATTTCGAGATTCATCTTATCGATATATTTGTATTCTTTGAGTGTTCGAAGATAAGAAACTTAGGTACATCACGCCGGCATCGCTAGGTAACAAGATGACAGAATACCGGGGAAGTCGAAAATAAAGTAGAGGTGATTATAACTTGCTTTGCTTGGAAATTTGATTAACAACTTTACAATATACGATTTAGGCTACTAATGTTTACCCACAAATAAATTGGAATAAAATGACTAGAAAATATTTACCTAAGCGGTTGGTCATTGATGTGGACGGTAAAGCGTCGTGGTGGATCACTGTAATCTGCGGCATGGACCCGTGACGGTAAATCGGTGGTGGCAGCAGCGGTTCGGACTGCTGATGAAGATGGTACTGCATTGTACTTTGGTCCGATTCCCTTTTATTAGCATTGTTTTCCATCAGCAGGCCGCCAATGCCAAAACCGCCGCTGTGAAAGTACGTTGTTCTCTTTGACGGTGACGAGTCCAAACCACTTCCTCCGCCACCACTTCCTCCTCCTCCTCCTACTCCTCCTCCGCCACCACCTCCACGGTAATTCATGTTCCGCTGGTGGTCCCAATGCAAAACCACCGTGATACGTCCCTTGTTGTCCATTATTTTCCACGAAGGGGTTGCGTCTTGCAGTTCTAGAGCGTGAATCGTTTCGCAGACGATCTTTGGTATGGCGGCGATAGCTGAAACATTATTGGTGTTCTAATTAATAATTTTCACACTATCGGAATAGTGAAAAGTCAATTTTATTTCGATAGAAATTAAATAACTTAGATGGCGTATTCAATTATTGTAAACGGTAAAAAAATATAATAATAATAAAAAGCCAGGGAAAACAATCTCAACACACGAAAGAAGGTTAGCAGTTATTTGTGTAATATTAAAATATAATTAAATTAAATATTATATTATAATTAACTAACTACATTACAATTTACATTAATTACATTTTTCAGTATCGTGCAAATAACACATTTTTCACTTAAAGGGCTAAAACATACCTACATTATAAAACACTAGAAATAAAAATATAGACATCACTTCAAAATCCATGCCCAAATTTATTATTATTATCGTTGGAGTTCTTGAACGTTTCTTTAATCTTTCAATATTTTCAATGTTTTTTTTCAAAATTTACGTACTTCTTTTCTCGTGATCTCTCGGGTGTTTGAAAATCCAATGCGATATGATTTTTTATCTTGTAAACATTTAATCAGATTTTTTGAACACTATGAACCTTGCAGCTCGATTCAGTGGCAGCTCGAAGGAGGTATATTTGAATCACGTGATTTACAAATAAATGGGTGGGTGAGTCGTGGATCCTAGGTGTGTCTGACTACAATGATTTTTAGGAGCTTAGAGCCAGTCTCTCAAAATTAAACTACCAATCCTTTTTAACTTAAATTGAGTGCTCATTATCACTCTCTCCCCGGAATTTTTGAAAATATATTAATGAGCTTAAAGATAAACAGCTTTAAGAAACAGCTTTCCACTATTTCATGTCAGTCTTCAGACCTTCAGTTTTCATTGCCGTTCCTTTTTACTATACTTGCGGTTTTTCTTATGATTTATCACCAAACTGCCATTTTTCACCGGGTGACATACTTCAGACGCTTTCAGCTGTAAGCTTCACCAACTTTAATAGCTCGGAATTTCATGTTTTTTTTTTTTAATTGTCGTAATTTCTTTTACTATACAATTTTCTTGCTATCCAGACTCTCATTGGACGAAGGATCTTTCCCTTCTATTTGAAAAATTTGCTCGGTAACTCTCATCTTAACATCCGAAGATCCCACCTTAGTAGTCAACTATAGGCCTATCTCCATCTTACCACATCTCACCAAAATCTTCGAGCTGTTAGTCTAAAACTGTGTTAAAAAGTTTTCTTAACCATATCCTAATAACTCAACCTTCTCAAACATAACTTAACTCAATCAAAAGCACAGGTTCTTACCAAGAATGTTTACAATTTCACAGACCGTTAATCAGTTTTTCTAGTGTTGTAGTATCCAAAACTTCTAGGTCAAATATGAGTTGAACTCGTGCGCTAAGACTTTTATACTGTTATGATGGAAAAAACCATTTAAAAATTATAATGTTAGATATTTTGATCGGGAATAAACTTGACATAACAATACAATACGTTATTCATATATGTTGTTCCGCAAATTCGTTTACGTCGCGTTCGTAAATGACTTAAAATTATTTTTCTGCACTAAAGAATTTTATGTTGCGTGGTCTATATGGGTAAAATTTAGTTCCGATTTGAAGTTAATTTTTTATTTTGTTTAGAAACCGCTACACGAAGAGCATGTTTTTTTTTTTTCAAAATCATACATCTTCATATATTAAATAAATTTAATAAATTGTTTTTAACTTTTCAAGGAAAATAAAAGCCATCCGGACTGTGGACTAATCGAATCACTACGAAAAAAATGAGAATTATTATATTATAATAATATAATAATTCTTATATTATAATAATTCTAGTTAATATATTTTAAATTAATGAATTATACTTGCGCGTTAAATATAAACGATCTTCTAAATTATATTACATAATTATTATTTATACGTTACAGTTTTGTGAGTAGGAGTATAATATCGAGTACTGATACTCTTGTTTTATCAAAACGGTAAAAATTGTACTATTAAGTTCTGAAGACCAATAACTTAAAAATATTAAATAGTCAAATACTTCGTATACGCAATAACCTGTTTTGATGGCGTCGACTCCAGACGGATACCAATATTCGTCATCTTTGAGCAATAAAACAGTAGTGTTGTTTGGCAGTGTTTTAAAGTACTCGGAGTCCTCGATTTGCGTACCGTCTGTTTCCAGTACCAGTCTGACAGACTCATTTTGGGCGATGTTCAGTTTTTCTTTGCCTGTAAAATATGAAACAAGTAAATAATAAACTCAATACTTTTAAAAAAGATTAAAACGAACGATTTAATAATAATAATATAATTCACATTTATTGTTCAGATTACTTTCCAGATATTATGTTGCATTTTTGTATTTGTTTTTTCCCTATTACCTATCCAACGTGGTATTGAAAAATAAATTTCCAGAATTCGGATTTGAACTTGCGATCTCTGGGATGACAACAGGTACGTTCCATCACTAAACTACGACTGACATACTATACAATTGACAATATTGAGCTATTTAACATAACACATGTAATATTGGCATAATATAAAAAATTTAAAAAGCTATAATTTCTTAACTAAGTCAGATCGCTCAATTCTGACTTCACCATCGTTCTTAAATCGGCAATATACACATGTTTAGAACAAAAAAAAAAAAAAAAAAAAAATGTGCATGTACTAATAACTAGATTTGCTCCACATAATTTTACACTTAAATGATTGTTATTAAAATTTGGTATTAAAATTCCTTTATATACTTCCTTTATAACTTTTTTAATTACAAATTACGACTTTAAATGAACCTCCTGTCAAATTTTCAAGCATTTCTGTTTAGTCTTACAATTTTGTCTATTGAGTACCTACCGAATAAAATTTCTTCTAAATAAAATAAGTAAGGTCACTGGAATTCAAACCTACTAAACGGGTGGTTCAAAGGGTTTGTCTTTAAAATACGCAAACACTAAGTTTAATTATCGAATAATTCAAATTTGACTATCGCAAATAGAAAAAAATATTATGGTCTATGGTTCAGTGACATATTTGGAACTCAATCAAGGGAGAGGGGGTAAAAATTGTAATATACCATGAAATATCGCGAAATATTAAAAAAAAAAAAAATAACAGTTATAATTTGTTTTATAATTACACTTCTTAATAATTAAAAAAAAAGTATACAGGTGTATACTATTATACTATTATAGTATTATAATTAATATTACATAAAAAAAAAATAAAAATATATATGTAGGTATATATAAAATATATGTCACCGTTAAAAGTCGAAATTGTGTAAATATTACGTTTTCGGCTTTTACCCGTAACGACCGTAACATATACATGTATCATATTTATAACAAACAATGCAATACAAATATTTACAATAATTGTAAAGCAATATTCATTTTTTTTTCCTACAAACCAATCTATGATTATTGTTTGGAAATTCACATCGATATCTCCATGTATGTATTATAGACAAAAATATCTCCAGTTATATCATTGTCACTACATTTTGGTGACGCTGATAAAAATATTATTTTATCACCTATAGCTAATAGCCGTAATTGAAAAATCACGGCCAACAAATTCCAAGGAGGGGTAATCCAGCAGTTGCCCCCCTTCAAATACGTCACTGAGCTAAAAAATGAATATAGGATAATAGCAGAAAAAAAATGATCTTGAAATTCAAAAGTTATACATATCGTGTCTATTTAAAATGACCATAATATAAAATTGGGAATTAATATTCGAATAATTCAACCTTTCGGATTTTCCAAGGTTTGAAATAAAAAAAAAAAAAGAAAAGAAAAACATGTTTTTATTGTATTTGTTCTAAAATGTCACGGCTTGATAATAATTACAAATGTTTATGTCAAAAAAAGAGATAGAAAGAGAGAATGACGAAATAAAAATAGTTCTAATTCTATTCATCTATAGGTTATAATATGAAAACATAAATAATAATAATATTATCACTTTTAATTTTGTCATTCTTATATTATATAGGTAGTCGAGCATTTTGAACGTTCTTAATATTGAAAAAATAAAAAAAAAAGGTGAAAAAAATAAAAGCTATTTAGGATGATCGATTATTCGTTGGTATAATAATATTATACAACAATAAATCACGAAAGGGTTGAATCACGTGTACATAATTTAATAGTGATTTGGGAATAAATACTTTTCGTAGTAAAATTATAATAACGGATTTTTTCGTTGAGAATTTTAAATTTCATTAAACGTTGAAAAACTCGCAGGACCGAAAAATTAACATAATGAATAGGTACTCACTATGATTTTTAATCTTTATTGGTATAATATTTACTTTATTCGGCATAAAACTACAGCGGAGTATCTACACCCACCTACCTTTTAAAATTAATATTTAAAATATCGGCGGTTTATTTAAGTTGCGCTCGTGTAATAATTATATAAGGTCGGAAAAAAGTTTTTTTTTTAATGGTTAAACACGTCATTTTTAAACGTATTCTTTTTTTTTGATAATTATTGTATAAAATAAAATATATTATGTTATGAAACACTTTTTAAATTAAAGCTACAGTTTTATTATTGTTTTTTTTTTTTTTTTAAATAATATTGTCTGTGCAAACTGCTTTGCATTGTTTATTAGGCATTAAATATTAAAAGGAAATGCGCTATCTTCGTACCTATTTCAATTTCCATTTATTTAAACTGCGCTAATCAATGCTCGAATTGGTGGGTTTGGGGGAGTATAGTTTTCCCTCCATATTTTAAATATAATTTAGTATACGTTTTTAAATTTGTTTAACGGATAAGTGGACCTGTGGCTATTTTTATCATTCATATCATTTTTTAATTTTGTGAGTAGTTTTCATAATAATTGGAAAAATTCATGAAAAAACAGCAAAGTGCACGGCATTTGGATTTTTTTTGTTATTTGGTTGAAAATTAATTTAGAGACCTGCAGTTTTCACAAAATACTATAAACAAAATAAAATATTGTATAATGTGTAATATTGCCTTTTGTAGAAGTGTTAACATTTTCAAAATATTCTGGCTATTTTTCGGCTTTTTATAGATATTTTATATTTTCATGCTTTTATATTCACGTATTTATATGCAGAACGAAAATCTGGATGTTTATTATATTTTTTATTTACGCAATAGAAAATTTAAAAACAAATGTTCCGAGTTCTGCACTCTAAAAAATACAAATAGTTACTGACAAGCATTTAAGGTTTAACCTTTAAAAAGCTTTTTACATCGAAACAATTCCGCCAAAGTCAAAGGATCGTAGGCAATTCCCCACTTTCCCAACTAACTCCACTTACAAAATAGGGCTGGCGAAGGAGCATTTCTTTAGCACCTTTAAAGGTGCTGTAGGGTGAAAGGAACTTTGAGCTATAAACAAAGAGACTTGAGGCAACATCAGGTACAAAAAAGGTGCAAACGATTGGAACCGGTTTCGTTCTGATATTCGAAAGTGGGCGGGCTGGGATAATTGATCTCTTTGAAACACGATAACGAAAAATATTAATTTATGATGCACCTATCTATTACTACTACGGTTACATGCACAGCTAAAACCGCTTTGACTCAACTCGATTTAGTAAACTTCCGGAGTTAAATGCATGTAAACGGCTGTTAAAACGGTTCGACTAAAACGGTATAGTTAATGCTCATTTGACATGCGCATTGGACATAATTACGAGAGTACAAAATACGTGTAAACGGATCACACCACAACAACCGAATCAGGATTACGGCAGGTACTTGCGATAAGGTTTATTAACAATAATAAACGTTATTGAAGAATTGAAGTTGTAATAATAATCATTATTTTATTATTTTACAACATTATAAATTCCAATGAAGGAAAATCGGTTTAAGTTCTGCGTTTGAACGTTGTAACGTAAATTAGTTTGGCGGCGGTGTTTATACTAATAATACGGTTTTAGACGTGCATGTATATTTGTACCCTAATCCGAATTGATTCAATACGAATCAAGTTAATTCGATTTAATGGATGCATATAAACAAGGTATATGCTGTATTTTTAATATGATTTTAGATAAGGGGTGTCCTACCTTTTTTTAAACCGGGCCAAATATGAGATACGTTTCGACATCACGGGCCAAAATTCTTTATTGGAATAGAGAGGTAATGAAATTGAAGAATAGGTACAAATAGATAAGATTTATTTAGATATTAGAAAAATGTTTATTTGTTTTTAATTTTATAATTCAAAATTTGTTTTATTGTGATACGAGTAAGTTAGTTAATGAGAATGTTGGGAATGCTTGTCTTTTAAAATTTCTTGATAGTTTACATAAAACTTTGTTATTCCAAACAACAGCGTTGCTTGTAAATGTTCGTCACTTAAGTTGGCTCTGTACTTAGATTTGAGGTATTTCACTTTTGAAAAATCTGTTCACACAAGTAGGTGGAGCTATATATTGAAATCATTTCACGTGCACATTTTTTCAGATTTGGAAAAGACTCCTCGAGCATTGTTGGAGTGTAGTTTCCTTGAAATAGTTTTTGAAATGATTATTTGATGTGAGCTCGATGATTTTAAGTTGAAGCTCCGTTGGTAAAGTTTATATTTCTATGGCAAATGGGTTTTAAAAAATTCGAATATAGTCTTCTGCACTTTCAAAATCTCCAAAGAGGGTTCGAAACTGCTCTTTCGAATAAGTGAAAAATCGATTAGGGAATTCTTCATAATTTTCAAGTTTGAATTAATTGCAAGTTTGAAAATGGACAAGATTTTTTTTTCTTTTAGTTGTTTTGTGAAAATAGTTGAATTTAATATAAACATTTTGTTTTAGGAGTTTATAGATAGAACGATATTCGATTAACGATCGCCGCCATAAAAACGATAACTCAATCGACTGGGTTTTTACTATTTTTTAGTTATTTAGAACAAAAACTAACGAAGAACCATTTATTTCATCACTATAATTTTTTTATTTTTTTTTTTTTTTGGTAGAAAATATTGTCGATAAATGAATATTATTGTCAAAACATCAGTTATGTTGGCTGGCCAGTTTGAAAAGCTTGACGTGCCGTAGGTTGGAGACCCTTGTTCTAGATTAAAGTACCCTAAGATTATAAAGGAAAATATGGGGCAAGTTATACCAATTCACATAATTATAGGTAATCGCAATTCCGTGCCGATCGCCGGGTCGTCACGCGACGGCAACGTCATATTATTTTTCCGACGATCCCAGTTTGTGGTTATATACAAACCTAATACAGAGTCCGGTGTTAGAGACGGGTGTCAGTCTCCAAAACGCGCGGCCACAATCCGATAAACTGTGTAGTTGGTGAAATCAGAAGGTACGCGACGCACAACGGGGACGGCAATAAATGATATTATTATGTATTATAGCTTTCTGTTTCCGTATACTGTTTTCCAATTTAAATACACACGCAATCAAACACCCCTATATAATATAAATATATATAAAAAAAATAAATAAAAAAATACGTATTATATACGTTGCTGAATTGTTCTCGTTTTGTTTGTCCCTCACGCCGAATGGCGTGCATTTACTGCAGCAATCATTCGCTGAATCGTTACAGTATCAGAAGTCCTTTGATCTATTATTCGCTATAATTTTGTCATAATACGAACTTTGGTGTTGACATTGCCGTATATTATTCTGTTGAGCTGGGATTTAAATGTTCCGCACTCGTTTTTCCGCCGCACATTACTCGTATATTATTTTACTCGGGCATTTTTAAATTTCGGTTTTTCCTGTGATGTGTTCGTTTTCTATTTCTACGCGAAATATTGCTCTGATTTTCGAATATCGTCATTTCTGACAGCAATTTCGTATCTGAACGTTGTATTGGGTAAGCGGTTTGTTGATTTTGTTTTTATTTTTCTTAACTATTGGGAAACCCGAGAATAACTAGTACAATTACAGCAAAATAATTGCAGAGACGTGAAATTGTATTCGGTTTATGTGGAAAAACTTATTTTAACCAAGCGATAATACTTGGAAATTAAATGTATGTTTATCATTTAAGTTGTACTTATTGTATTTGAAAAACCTAAATTTTATCTTAGTGTTGTGTTTTATTTTCTAATAATCATTTTATTTCTAATTTTTAATAAAAATCGTTACAAATTACGCCATTTAAAAACGGATATTTCCCCGAACGTCACTCAAAATCTTTTTAGATTCTGAACATAACGAGGAATGTATTGGTTTAACTATGATGTGTATTTTATATAAATTTTTTTTCTGCCTGTAAACAGCTTTTTTTTGTAAACTCCAAATTCATCATTTTATTGTAATCTCCTCCAAACATTGGGCTGTATCTTAGATCATCGATATTTCTCAGCGGTTAATAACCATACAAATAACAAATATGGATACCAATGTAAAAAACATAAATTCGAAATTATACCGTGTGCCATATTTCAAATCTTACTAATCGTATACCCGATTGATGAATTTGTCAATAATATTGTGCCGGAAAAAAAAAAAATTCTGTACAAAATAATATTAATTCCCTGTCATGTACGAACGATACACAATTCTATAAAACCGTCTAAAATAAATACATCTATCAATCTAAATCAATATATTTTTCTCAGTTTACGTAAAGATAAGTATACCCATTACCCTGTATTTTTCCGAAATTAATTTGTTGTTTAACGCGACATTTATTTGTATTGAGTTTTAAATTTTTTAATAAGATTTCAATCGCTGTCCGTTATATAGGCCGGAGATATTATAATTCGTTTGGGTTTTCCGTAATAATAAAGTCATGTCAAGTATATAACTATAATGATAAATTTCTGTTAATGTTTTTTGATGTTAAACCAATTCGATGTGATAAAAACTTACAAGAATTACTTTTCATTTTATTATTTTTGAACAGTTTGAAGATTTACAGAGTGTACAGTCGATTAACCGTAATAATAATAATCAATCAGAAAATGCGATAACAGCCTGCTGCGTACTTTTCTATGAACTTTAAAAAATTATTAAAAATTTTGAATTAAATGAGATACATCAAAATGTTTAGAAAAATAAACTATACATTAATTTTTTAATTTTTTAACAAAAAATAAATTGTAATATAAATGTTTGTAGTTCTTATCCTAGTGTATTATGCAAATCGATTTTTTTTTTTTTTTTAAAGTTAATAACGTATAGCATATTACGCTTGCATGATTACTATAAAGGATGTCCCACGAAAATATGATCATAGCGATACCTTGGAGTGAATAAACTTTTTTAGGAATTTTTTTCGATAATTTAAAAAAAAAATAACAAATAACTTTAAAATATTACATTTTCATTAGTTTGCGTCATCCTTACTTTTGGAAGTGAACAGATTATCTACCACCTTATGTACTTGAAATGACAAATGATTGACCCCCAAAATAGAAGTGACAAAAAATTATGATCTTCACGCCCCCCCTCCAAAAAAAATAAAATAGAAATGTATTTTAAATATTTAGGGCTTATGTTTAGTACAAAGAAATACTGCTCCTATAGAAAAACAACAAGAGACCTTTTTCGTTGAATTTTTAATCTAGTTGGTAAATAAGAAGGTCGTTTTTTGATTTTCTCTGTAGTTTTATTAATGATTAGGGAAAACCGAAAAAAAACTAAAATTAAAACTGACAAATTTACAGCGTTATAAATTCATTATTTATTTACATTTTTATGCATTCTGATTTCTACCAGAAATATTGCTCCAATAGAAAAAACAACAAGAGATCTTTTTTTTATTGAATTCTTAATCTAGTTGGTTATCAAGAAAGTCGTTTTTTTAATTTTCTTTGTAGTTTTCCTAATTATTGAACAAAACTGAAAAATACGTGGAAAATAAGGAAAAATTTACGAAAATAATACTTTTATTATTTTCAATTTTGTTTTTGTAATTTTGTTGAAAATATTCATAGAGACGTTGAAAGACGTGGTTAAATTTTCAAAACATTTAAGACATTTTTGAGCTATTTACAGAAATTTTAATTTTGCGTGATTGTACGTAATTATTATTTGGTAGTTATTCTATAGATAAAATTATTAGACTTAACAGATATGCTTGACAATTTGACAGGAGGTTCATTATAAGTTACATACTTACCGATTAAAAAAAAAAAAAAATCCATTCAAAAAATTGCCATTCACTATTTTTTATTTATACGTTTTAACATCAACGAAAATCGTAAATATTACGGTCCGTCAAAATGTGTTTAAAAGAATAACTCTTCGAATCGTTTTTCGATAGCAATGCTTTATCGTTGCTTAGAGCAATAAATTAAAAAACTTTACACATCCTACCTTCTATATTTCTTACCTATAACAGTGGCACACCCGTCACCAGTATTATCTCTTTTTTTTCCTGTTGATGTTTTTTGGTTAAACATATTCATGGAAATCTGATATTTTCATAAAATAATGATGTTAGACTTTCCTAGACATGGTTGATTTTTTAAAACATTTGGGCGTTTTGTGAGCCATTTGAGGTATTTTACAGTTTCAAGTTTTTTCTTAGTTCTTATTTGGTAAGTACTTGTGGATAAAATTATTCGATCAAACAAAAATGTTTGAAAATTTAATAAGAAGTTACTATAAAGGTTTATTTAATGGTAAAATAAATAAAGTTAAGCGCAATGTAGTTGTTTTTTTTTAATAGTTTTAATATCATATTTTACGAAAACTATAAATATTACGGCATTTTAAAACATGTATAACGGAACTTCATTCCTTTCATTAGCAAAGGTTTATCGGTGGTTACAGGTAAAATTAATAACTTTATGTATCCTACCTTTGAAACTACCTACCCCCAACAGTGGTGACACCCGTCCCCTGCATTATTAGTTTTTTTTAAATTTGACAGTTTGTACAATGCCTACACTAAAAAATCAAGCTTATAATATAATTTTTGATTTAAAAAGAATAATTGAATAGAGTAGAAGAACCTGCGATATTTCAGATTTTAATAATGCATTAATAATACCAGTATACGAGATGCAAACAATGTGCTTTGAAAAAAAAAAAAAAAAAAAGATTATTTTGTGAATTGCATTTTGACGGGACGCTAATGACATTACTTAATAATTATCATACAATACGCTGCATTGCATTCGCGAACCAGTTATACGTTAGAACTAATGTAGCTATATTAGTATTTACCTAAAATCGCTCTCAATAATAGTTTTCAGTAAACTAATGTTATTCAATCATTAAAATGTGTTTGAAAAATATCTTTTTAACATGCGTGTTCTCAAAAAATGTATTAGATCCCATTTAAATTTAAAAAGTTGAACCCCAAAGACCTCCTAAATGATTAAAAAAAAAAAATAAATAATGTACAAATTATTTTAGACATTTATTAGTAAAGTTGTTTTATCATAAATTCTTCTCTATTTTTAATGTTGTTATGATAAAAAGGCTGTAACATAAATTATGAATCACATTGTTAGACATATCATGTTAAAATATATAAATTAATGAATCGATCATCCAATTCTATTACAAAATTACATAAAATCTATGGAAAAAAAAAAAAAAAACTAATGATGCATCAAACTCGGTATATTTATAAAAGGTACCTATGAAATTGTTGATATCTTTATCAAATGTATACCAGTGTGATTTGTTTGGAAATTATATATTTCGAGATTTCAAAAATAGTCTAGCAAAATTTAGTTGATTCCGACGGTCATATTGATATTATGTCATTCGATTAATCCGGACCGTGTACCGGTGCCAACTTGACGCGCATACAACAGTGGCACACCAATTAACACTATCAGTTCCGTTTTTGTTTTATTATTATTATTATTAGAACGGCCATTGGAAATTCGAATTTCTCTGTGTTCCGTGATTAGAATAAATATAATATAATATTACACGGAAAATAATTCATGATGACGATTCCCGTTGTCGGTTTTACAGAATTTATAGATAGATTTACACGATCAACTCGCGTTTCGTGACTTAATGTTATTGATTGAATAATTTTTTTTTCATATTATTATTATTTTTTTTTTTTTGCATACGTACAATTTTATACTATATTATATTATAATAAACTACTTAATTACAAATATAGAACAGTTGTAAATTATAAATAAAACAAAATAATAATTGAAAAAAAAAAAATGTTATTTCTTTATCTAAAAATAATGCTTTTAATTTAAATTTATATTTCTAGAATGAATCGGAACTATACAAAATATCTTCATTCTTCAGAACATACACGTATTTTACGTATTCAAAATTAAATTAAAACGGCCAATATAATTAATTTTTAAACGTTTCAAACTAAAGGACCTTTTTAAAACATTTCGCAACCCTGATAACGCTACTCAAAATTGCAATTGTTCTTTAGGTTAATAATGGAAAATTGATCATAGTGTGTGCGGTGTTCTACATATAATTATATTTTTGAGATTCGATATTGTTTATTCTTAATGTCCGTCCATAAATATAATGTTTTTCCTGTGTAAAATTAAAAAGTTGTCGAAAAATAAACCTATAGCTACGATGAAAACAGCGGTTTTTTAAGAATCACTTTTTTCTCTATACACGAAATGTTGGCGATTTTAATTATTGTATAATGTATCTTGACAGTAACATATTTATTTGAGACACAATGCAGTGTATTCATAGAATGTGGTTTTTTTTTTTTTTAAATATATTTCCTGCCGACAGATAGACAACCATGGATTTCTTTGGCTAGTAATAAAAATGGTTTTTAACACGACGGACATTTGTATTAAATTATATAGGTATTGGTGACAGAAAGATCATGGAATTAAACGAAAAAAATATAATATATTAACATAATTTATTGCTGTTAAATATACCGGCAAATGAGGACCGAAAAGTTTTCCAAGTTTTTAATATTTTTAACTGTTCAAACCAAAACTGTATTATAAGAAATATCAAAACAAACTTTTTGTTCGAACAAAACTGTACGAGTATTTCGGTTCATTATAATAATTAATTTTTAATTTTATTAAACCCACAATGGTATTTGTAAATCGTCGGGTAAATGTTAATAATTTTACTAAGTGACCACAGAATAATATATTTTGTAATACAAATAAAGAGTCGTGGAAGTGTTTACGATTTGTGTATTTTTTTTTCTGAATAAAGCTATGTTATGTTTTATTTTTTATGTACCTATAAACCACTTTACAAGAATAAATTGTCTGCTTATACAGAAATTTGATTGCACACCAATATAGTTCTCTACTTGCACGGTGGTAGATTTTTAGCCGCTATAAAAAAGTTGCTCCTGTGAAGCAGTTCTGTCCATACAAAACAAATAGACACCATAATGAATGAATCTTGCAGTTTAGTAACAGGTTTTCTCAAGAATACACTACTTCCTAAAATTTACAAACTCGTTGGTATTGTCCCACCGAAAATCCGCCGGAGGTCGCAGCAGACTGGGAAAGGACTAAAGCAGAAATTGATATACGACGCCCATTACATAGACAAAATATACCTAATTTTAGACGTAAATCCAGAAAGAATTTTCTTAAAACGACAAAACCTCTAAAAAAAAAACACCCTGATGAGGTACGAAGAGAAATGTGGAAACTCTCTTTCTTCAAAGAAAACAATAAACTAGAGTAGCGGAATTGCTGCCAGCAGGACACGAATTAGACTGGCCAACCTGGAGATCACTCAATAGACTCAGAGTAGAAGTGGGCAGATCTAAAAACAACCTAAAGAAATATCAAGACATCTCCACAAAATGCGAGTGTGGTTTGGAACAAGACATGGAACAATGAACTGCCAAAGCTGCCCATCTTTCTGTTCGAAAGAAAACCTGTCAGCAAATCCAAATGCTTTTGAAGTAGCAAGATTCTTGTCATGGGTAATCTAAAACTGAAATAAACCTATAATCTTTGACAATTATGTTACCGTAAAGTTATATCCATTCCAAATTCTATTTATATTCCCAATTATATTTATTAAGCAATTTATGTATTTTATTATATTTTTTTTTTTATCTCCATATAGACTCTGAATTGTATATATTTATGTTACTTATTTATTTATGATTTATTATCATTTGTTCGTACGCATCTAATTGTAGTTGTATGATACGAAATAATAATCATAAATTATATTCCTATCAAAAAATGTATAAGAAATTTCTTGTAGACATTGTCTGGTTTGATCTAGACTTTTTAAATTTTCATTGTAGTTTTTATAGAAACTTTTTTGTAATTTTTTGTTGATAATATACGACTCATAATACTTTCTCAGAATCGTTTTCGTCAGCAGCGGTTTATTGTTATGTATAGAATTAAATTAAATTACTCTATATAAATCCTAATCTTCCCTTCCAATTCATCAGCAGTATCAGGCGTTTTGTCGAATATTCCCGAAAATAGGTACTGTAGTACTGCATTGTGTCGGTAATAGGTATATATGTATCTCACGGTATATTTAGACGTATTTTAACGTTTACCTCTGAACCAAATAAGCCCAAACTAAATACCAACATTTCGTACATTTTCCTGTTTTTCATTAGTGTTTTTTTCGTTTTTTCACATTTGATAAGAAAATCAAAAATTGACCCCCTAATTAGTACCTTCCCAGTCAGATTTCCTTTCAGAAAAAATGGTATCATTCTAAATCAGAACAAAGTTGCTCTTGCCGGTAGAAAAGTTGGGCACAAATAAAAAAAAAAAAACAACAACAAAAAAAAAAAATAAGTATCTTTGTAAAATCATATACTGCTTTGCTCCACTCAGAATCTAAAATATGTTTTAATATCAAATGTAGTAGGTAATGTTGTAGGTACATAATTCAAACTTATATTATTAACTATAAAATCAAGTTTTGGACTAAAACTTCTAGAACTAAATCAAACTAAATCGAGGTGTTCACATCAACTAAACGATGCTAATGTGCTATCATCGATTATTTAATTAAAATAACTTTTATATACTCTACTCACGGTAAACAGTTATTCAAAATCTGCAGAATTATTACTAACTGAACGTAAAATGTGGCAACTGTATTTTCGGTTTCTAAATATTTCTGTAAAAGTACATCAAATATATCTAAATATACTTTTGTAAATTATATACATAGATATGTCAACTATTTTAGACATTCTTTAATTTGATTTTTAGATTCTGAGTGGAGCGAAAAAGCTTACGATTTTCAAAGATGTATATTATTTTTTTTTTTTTTTATATCTGTGTGCAACTTTTCTACTAGAGGATTTGCTCAGATTTTTAAGTGTAGCGACTTTTTCTGAAAGAAAATCGGCGCGGAAAGGTACTTTAAGGTCATTTTTCGATTTTAAGAAAATTTTAAGAAATTTTAAGAAAAGAGTTTTCTATGTAAATTTGAAAAACCGGGATAAAACACGGGAAAACCGAAAAATCGTAGGAAAACTGTGAAAATCGGCACGAAATTAAACAAATAATATTAAAGAAAATATGGAAAGGCTCTTTAATTGATTTACTCTAATATGACATATATATTGTTGACAAAGCATCACCATCAATTGAACTTCGGTTAGAATTGTTTTTTCGTAAGCAATTGTTTATAGTTGCTTACAGGTAAATAATTAAATTACCATAACAGTGGCGGCACCCGTTCCTATTTTCCTATTAACATATTTATTTTATTTTGTTTTATTTAATTCCAAACATTTCCAAATGCATAACGTGTCAATTTTTTTATTATATTCATTTGTTGCAATCACTGCGTATCCGAGATGAAATTATACAATATTGTCGAACAATAATATACATTTTAGCTCCCATAATTACCTAATAATTATTGTTCAATATAATTTATTTGAAAAGTTTCACTGCAAATATCTCATGGATAATAAGGATCAGCGATGCTCTTTCTGATGCTCGGGTGTTGTCCGTGGCAACGTTACAAATAAAAACTAGGCCGGGAATACCTTTGGCGTGAACCGTAATCCAATCGTTGTAAACTTATATTCACATATTTTATATTTTATACACCGCGTGAATGACGCGTCCCACTCAATGAATTGAGCCACTGATGAGTATAATTACGTGTATCGTACAGAGTGGATATATCGTTAATATTATTTTTACCGTTAATATATTTATAGAGTTTCGGTATTTAATTTCACGTGGGTTTGATGTCGGTTTGCCTCTGCTGTAACACCCGAGTAAATGAAATTATGTAAATTTAACTACATGAGTGATAGACGCCGATTTTAATGATATAAAATATAGTATCGTAACGTCCGCTATTTGAATTATAAATATATTTCTTAACTCGAGTATATATTATAGTTATTTACATTATATTATATTATATAAATAATTGTTAGATTAAACCATAATAGATATTCGATACATTAAATTATATCTTCGATCATCTAATTCTGGTAATAATAATTACATATCAAATTTGTTTTCAATCCAACAACCGTGTCCGACTGAAGTTCACGCCCCACCAAATCGTCTTGTTCTGACCTTGAAATCCAACTGCTAACCTAACTTTCAGTATAAAACTATAAAATATAACTTAAATATACTTGAATGTTATATCAGCATTCAAAAAAAAAAAAAAACTCAATTTTACTATAAATTTATAGGCAATTTCTAAACTGAAAACATACGTAAATACGTAAAAATCGAACACTAAAAATTGTTTAAAGTTGTGTAACATTATATCAAATTCTGTAATATTATCTTTAATCTATACTGTGATAAACGTTTTCACTAATGGATGCTACCTATATACACTTTTTATTGGCCAACCGAAAAGCAGTTTAAGAAAATATTCCTCTCATTTCCGTGGAATTTACGATCAATTATCGTTATCAAAATGCATAATATTGTTTGTTTAGAAAAATATAAACTATCAAAAAAAATTCTAAAATTTAAAAAATAGTCGAATTCGGTTATTCATTTAATTTAAATTGTTCATTATCTGACATTTGTGATTTGGTAAGACATACTATAACAGTCGCTACTTAGGTAAATATATAAAATGTATATCATATACTATTCAACGCACAAACGTACAATTTTAAATTGCTGTTACAGCGGCATTTTCCAGTTCTGTCTTTATAAAAGGCAAAAGATAGCAAAAAAAAATGTGTTCACGCATAATAAACAAAAAAGTCTTTGAAATCCATTTCAGAGATAAAACACTTATTATAGACAAAATAATATTGATGATAATATTTTTAAGATAGCCCATCATCGTTTTCTAATAATATTATACTTCATAATAAGTTTAAACAAATTTGAGAAGGTAGGGTATATAATAAAGTAATTAAATTTATATTTATACACAACGGTTTACTACTGATAACGAAAAACTATTCTGAGCGAAATTCGTTTTTAAATGTTTTAAAATGCCGTAATTGACAAGATTTAAAATTTGATCTAAAAATGATAAAGAAAAAAAAAATAACTACATTACGTTTAAGTATTTTCTTTTGGCTATTAATTTAAATTTATAATATATTTTGTATTAAATTTTCAAGTATTTATGTTTGGCCATACAATTTTATCCAAATTAAACTAAATAAAAACTAGAAAAAATATAAAACATCGAATGCCTCTAAATAGTTGAAAAATCGACAGAATGTTTTTTACCACTTCTATAAAAGACTAATATAAGTACCGTGTGAAAATTTCAGGTGTCAGTGATTATTTTTAACCGAATTAAAACAAAAAACATAAAATCGAAGCAAGATTTTTGGTAGAAAAGAATAAAGGTCTTAATAATTTAAAATAATAAAGTTTTAAAACCGTAAATATTTATCCGTTAATTATTAGGAATTAATTATAATTACTGAAATCACTTGAAATCATGACCTCTTCAATGCACCAACAATGTCCAAAATGCAACAAAAATGTAAAACCAATACCTACATTCCTCGCTTTGCTCAGAATATAAACAAATTACAAATACGATTTGTTATAATTGTTGTATAAATACCTTTGATAATTTAGATAATTTATTGTAAAAGACCAGCAAGGTTTTCTTCAATATTTTTTGTTGTCGACTACAGATATTATTAAGTATTAAGTTCAAAACCGATATCAAAGGTCTTTTTGTTTGTTGTACGCCAACGCATTTTTGCTATATCATCCGTTATAAAGACAGAGGCACAAATGGCGCTTCGACGGCCTCTGAATATAGTAGGTTGTAATTAATAAATTACGGAATTGTTAAATTTTTTAAATAGACTCTCTTAGCAGATACTGACTTCAAATAACATGTAATATTATATTATTATATTTGATGTAAATTAATTAATTAACAACAATAAGAACTTACCGCGTATTTCTAGGTCTTTTAAGCTGGATACGACTAAGCTTTTTCTTATGTTTCTAAAACCATCCCATATTTTGAATGGTCTCTTTCCTCGAGATTCCTAAAAAAAAAAAAAAAAAAAAAAATGAAAATATTTTGCATACTTAAATATTAATTCACGTATTCACACGGGTACTATTATTTAGTGCATTTTATATAGGTATATATAATATAATAATTATAATGTATTCAAACAAGAGGTGTATTTTTTTTATCACCAAAAGGTTCATAAATTAATGAAATACTTTTTTGTCTTCTAAGTAGGTAAGTACTTATATATTAAGCCTTAAAAGTCTTATAAATTATATTTTATATAAAATTCGTGGGTATAGAAAAGAAAAAAAATTACACATCTATTGAATTTTAGGTACTAATATAGTTGTGGTTAAGATATTAAAAAAAATGTATACTGATACTGGGGATGGGTGTACCACTTTTGTGGGTGGAAAATTGGGCATGTGTGTATCCTATCATACAAAGAGTTATTTAATTTATATTTTTAAGCAACGATAAACCATTGCTAATGAAAAACGATTCTGAGAGAAGTTCGGTTATATATGATTTGAAAGAGCGTAATATTTACGCCCAATTATTATGAAAAATATTTGAAAAATCAAATGACTTTTCTAATGCACAAACTAGATAAAATTTCCTTTCAGAAATACCTCTCGCTAAAATTCCTTTCGCTGTACCCTTTTCTATACCTTGAAGTAAAATTTTGAAACAGTTATTTACACACACATAAAATAAAAAAAAAAAAAATACAAAATTACATAAAAGATACAGTAAGAATTTGTAATGAAAGTAATATAGAAGTAAAGATGTGAAGAGGAAGCCTGAAAAGAGGTAGTTGGATACGAGAACAGCCGGTATTTTCGAGGTGAAAGATAGGGTCAAGTGGAAGTTTAAAACGAGACTGACCTATCTCAAATAGTTGGGATTAAAGTGAAAGAAGAGGAAGAAAAGAAAATAATTTATTATATGGTTCTAAAAAAACGATCATCGAAATTGTTATAGCAGCAACGCGCGACTGTCACATGTAGGAATATTCAAATGAAGTCATTGTATTGGCGCCAACCCTAAGCTTTCATCACTCGAGTAACTGTATACTGCACGCTCATTTATTATTCTGATCTAACCTAATCGCATCACACGTCACTAAATCGGTCACCAAATAATACAACCGCCTAAGATATCCCGCAGACGGGGTTAGTAATAGTTTTTCGTGTTCGTTTATTTATAACAAATCTGTTTGAGGAGGGTAGTGAAGATATATAGTGTAATTTAATTTACTACTACAATTGACAATAAACCACTTATGAAAAAGGATTCTGAGCAGAATATTATTAGTCGTAATAACCCCATTGTTGCCAAATCAACACAAATTATATATATAAAAAAATAGCCAGTTTATCCTATTATTAAGAAAATTACAAGAAAAATCAAAAAATAACTTTCCTAATTCACCAATAATATCAAAAAGGTACAAAAAAGTTCCTATAAAGTTTTTTTATTGGAGCGGGATTTCTGGTAGAAGAGTCTATTGCATATACAAAAATAAAATAAAAAACGAAACAACAAAGAGGAAGAAGAAAAAAAAGATCTGATACTAGGGACAGATGTAGCCACTGTTGCAGGTGAGTAGTTGAAATGTTGAGATAAATAAAATTATTTAATACGTACCAGAAACCAAAGATAAACCATTTCTAACGAAAAACGATTTGGAGTGAATTGCTTTTATATACGTATTATGTAAAACTTTAATATTTTTGTTTTTAAAGCTCTTTAAAAAAAAATATACTACATTGCATTAAATTTTTTTTTACTATTAGGTATGACTCTCATACGACTCTAATACCTAGTATGGATCTAAAAGCAAATATATGTGTTCTGTAAAAATTAAAATCCTTATTATTAATGAAAATACAGAGAAAATCAAAAAACGACTTTCTTAATCATACACTACATCTAAAATTTAACAAAAAAAGGCACTGTGTCATTTATATACTGGAGTAATATATATAGTAGAAAAAAAGCCGTACAAATTTTAAATAACAAAATCGTTGTGCCGTAGTTTGAAAAAAAATCGTATGTTTCGTTTGTTTTAGTTTTTTCTAATTAAAATGAATAGTACTTTTGATATCTAAAAATGACATTATTTGGCAGTGAATATCAACATGTTAAAAGGAATAAAATCGGTATCTTACCATTTTTCGATTGGAATAATATTTCTGGTAGAAAACATAAGTTTCAAAAATTAAACACAATGAAGTCGGTAATGCCGTAAATATTTTTCTTTTTAATTAAAATTTTATTTCGGGTTTTTCCCAATTATTTCGAAAACCCATTGGAAAATCAAAAAAATAATCTCTTTATTGCATTAACTAGAAAAGGTACTTCACTCTATACATTAGAGCAAGATTACTTTTCGAAAAAAAAATTAAAGAAACACTTCATAGTAAAACCGATAAATCTCCGAGTCTAAAATACCACATCATAATAAAACTAATACATTACTATATAGCTTTGCTCAGAGTAAAAAAAAAAAAAAAAAACAAACAATCAGAAAAAGGTACACCCCAAATAATATTGAATTTTTCGAAATTTCCATGCTCAAATAATACTAATAATAATAATTTAACAGTAGATATAGTATTATAAATTAAAATATTGTTTTTAACGATATAAATATATGTTAACGCGATGTTATAAGCCATACAATATGCTCATCTATAGAAGTATTATTTTTTTTGTTTTTTCGTATTATAGACACGCGGAAGATAATTAATTTACATTTTCTCTTGCATTTGCTTGACCTAATTGCTATTATATATTACCCTTTCCCCTTTCCTGTTCGGGTAATTGCCGTAGAAATAATTTTTTTTGAATAGTATGCAATATTATAATACGAGTAGTCATAAGAAAACTTTTAATAGGTATTTTTTTCTACACTTGTTCGTTCAATTTTCTTTATTCTATACTGTAAAAGTTCTCCGAGATATGAGTACTGTTTGTGTATAAGGTTTGATTTATTGTATTTCGTTTCATTGTCGTTAAGTTAAAAGTCTTAAGTTTTATCAAATTAAAAAAAATAAAAAAAAAAAAAAATAACAATATTATAGTACAAATACAATAAATACGTCACATAATGTTACAATCATTTTATCGTATTAATTTTAAATAAAGTAATAAAATTGATTTGCGAATTTTACGATATAACGTTTTTTTTTATTTACTGTGTATAATAATTATGCGTTTGTTTCGATTTTGTCTGAACCAAAAACGAATCTAGGGATAATACGTTTAAATTAAACCAAACGAGATTTAGCCACGATTGGAACCTCCACAATTAATTGGATTTATGTTGCCAATATAATATAATTAAAATAAATTAGTAAATTAAGAAGACGTCGCAGTAACATTCGCCGTCTCTGTATTTCTAATGGGTAATATAACTGGAATCTGTTTACGGCGTTCCGGCAGTACACACCGATTCTAATAGAAAACTTAAAACAAAACTTTTTCACCAAATTAAAAAGGACAATATTTACACTAGGGGTTTGTATTTTCTATTTTCATTAATAAGTTTTGTATAAAGACCGAAAAAATATTCAAATATGTTTCAATATTTTCAAATATCAATCGATTGTCTGGGAATTAAAAATCGAAAAATCCCTCAGTGAAAAATGTAGTAAATATTGTCGTCTTAAATTTAATGAAATCATTTTTGGTTTAATTCTATTATAACCGGTACTTAAACTGTTAGAATGCCGAAAACATATTTTTGATATTTCGCGGCCCGTTAGAAATACAGACGGCAAATGATATTGTGACATTTGTGACATCATATTATTGTAAAAACTAAATAAATAAAACTGCCAATATTTGTGTTTTTTATTGAGAATTTTATTATGTGCAGATTGTTAGGGTTTACTGAACAAACACGGGGCAGCTAAAATTTAGAGGGGTCAAATAAGCTACTCACAAAATTTAAAAAAAAAATAAAAATAAAAAAAACTATCGCATATTTTTAACCAAAAATCAGTGTTTTTCAATAATCAAATATTGTGCATAGTATTTTGAAACTTTTATGCGTTAAGATTCTTAGCTTAGTGAGGGGACGCATTGATTTCACTATGATGTGTGCTTTTTAAAACAATTTTTTTCTCTGCCTGCTAACAACTTTTCTAGCATAAATCCTGATGCAATGAAAAATCCAAAAAAAAAAATATTTTGCATAAAACAATATTCATTCGCTAAGATTATTTGTATATTTTTAGAGAATTTCGCATCTAGTTGGTACATGGGGAACGTTATTGTTTGATTTTTCGTATAGTTTTGTGAATAATTGGAGAAAATTGACCAAACGTAGAAAAATGGGAAAGTTTACGGCATTATGGTTTAATTATTCTCGATTTTTTTTAATACTACTTATATTACTCTATAGTACTGTATAAAAGTGAGTGAATAGACGATTGACATTTTTCAGTTTTTTTAGTTTGAAAATTAAATACCAGATTCGTAACAAGTTTAACTATAGGTGGTAAAAAAAAAAAAACAACGGTTGAGCGTAATACAGTAATGTTTTATTTACGAGCGTTTTACAATGACATTTTAACGAAAATTTTAAAAATTATAGGATTTCAAAATATGTGTAACAGAAATTTCCTCAAAATCGTTTTTCGTTACTCGTTAGTAATGGTTTTATTGTTTCGTATAGATATAAATTAAATAGTTTTATGTATCCTACTATCCGAACTTTTTTTTTTGTTTTAAAAAAATATTAAATTTATTAACCTATGGTAATGACGTGTTACATATTTAATTTAATTTTTGTGGGGGAGGTCTAGAATAGCTCCAATATATTTTATTAAAACTGGTTTATATTATATCAAATACAAATTTTAGAAGGGCCGGGGGGGCTTAGGATAATTTTGTCCTCCCCCTAATCTCCGACTATGGTTATGCTACGATTACAAAACATGGCCAAATTGAAAGAAATGTTGATTTTATTTGTAAAATGTACGTATTGTATTATATAAAAAAAAAAATATATATATTAATTTTGAACGAAAAATGTATTAATATTTACTATAGAAACTTCGTCAAATTTCTCAGAAAAACAATAGGTATTAGGAAACTATGGAAATTCCAAAAAAAAAAAAAAAAAAAAAATGTGCAAACTTTCTAACTTACTGTGTAATATACATTTATTGCGACTAGCACCGAGTAAAGTTTATAATATTCAAATATAAAAGCATATAATATTATAATATATTATATATTGTAATATATTCTTCAATAAATTTCGGTAGTCCGTTAACGTTATCGGCGTGGCACTTGATATTTCGTAAACAAGTAACTATTATAATATCATAAAGTCAGCAGCGCGGGTTTTCACGTTTTCTCGCGCGGAACGTACTATACGTAACATTTCGTATTTTGTATTTTTTTATTTTTTTTTTTTTTTTTTTTTTTTTTTTTTTTAATTATAAATAAAAATAACGACACGCGCTTACGGGATAGCGGCACAGTTTAGTCGCGGAAAACCCCCGGGGAGGGAGAGGCCGACGAAAACATTTTTCATACGAACGTACACAGTATATTATAATATTTTCTAGGTACACGTTCAATTATTCATTGTATTATACACAATATTATAATGCATTCTAAATGCACGAGTATATAGGTGTGACCTGCAGCTATCACTCGTCTTTTAACCAGCGCCGTGCCGTATACGCCGCAGATAGATTTATCGGATGATAAAAAACCTTCCGGGGTAATTCTCGAGGCCGTAAATTTTTTAGGCTTCGCAATTTGTTTACCGCTCCGAGCGCTTCCCTCGGCATAATATATGTATAAGTATTAGGCACTTCTACATAGATTCTCGCGCAGCCGACTCGGCGTACCGCGAAGGAGCTGTTCGTTTTTTTTGTTTTTTACCGCGGTGTCATGGTTGAAATATACTAGATTATTGCATTAGTACGTACACTCCTCTAATGTTGTTTACCATACATAATAGCGTTTAATACCTAAACATGAGTAAACATTGCAATCAATGATATAACACACGATGGCTGTGTGGCTACGTAATAACAGTGTATATGGACACAGTAATATTTAGTTATCGATTTGATAACGCCAGAGCATATATACAATAACCCGATATATTTCAATCCTGATTTTTACAAGGTTTTTTTTTAAGTAAGCAGGTTAACTTAATACAGCGGAATCCGTTCGGTGCGGGAACGTTGGGACCAGTACCGTTTGCTCGCGTTAAGCGATTGCCCGTAAAAACCGAAAGAGTATAGAACAAAATACAGACATTTTAAATTAAAAAAGAAGTGTGTTTCACGTAAAACACGTATTGCAAAAAAAAAAAAAAAAATAATAATAATAAATAAAATATGCATAAAAAATGATTCGGACTAATTAATACATATTATTATGTACATACTAAATAAAATTGTTACTTGGACGTGAAAGGTGTCCAATAATAGGATGTAATGGTACGTATAGTTTATACTGGTTAGGGTAAAAAGCCTTTTAAAATATGCACAACCGAACTCCACTCAGTTTCGTTTATTGTTAGCAATGGTTAACATTTGCGTACATATATACATTAAATTACTTATCTACCATTCCAACATCTCACCTACAACAGTAGCCCATCCATCGTGCGAAGTACGTTCCCGTTTGTGTTTTTAGAATTTAACTTCACTAAAAATTATCGGCAATTTTGATATGATTAGAAAATCACTGAAAGAGTTAACTAATATTTAACAGGTATAATAATATTATTATTATAGGGAAATAGCTGCTAATGTAAACGACACCGTTTTATTTCGAAAAAGGAAAATTTCCAAGCTCCCAGTAGCTTTGTCGTTTTTCTCGTTTTTGTGTACAGGTTGTCGAACGAGTTTTAAACATATATCGCGATCGTTACAGAAAAAAAATCTCCTATTACTCCGAAGGCAAACAAAGTGTTAAACGTGTCAGAGAACGATATTCGTCAGTCAAGTGCACTATGTGATTTTTATTTTGTTTGTTCTCTGAAAATATATCAGTTGGTACATTCTCAGAATAATAAAAAAAACAAAACAAAAACGTTTTGCATATAACAAGCTGCTAAAAACATAAGTATACGATAAAAATGTTTTAAAACAGACTAGAGTCGGTTTATTTCGGTGGAGGAGAAGGATGAGATGAG